TCTTCTTTTCGACCCATAACCCCCCTCCGCCCTGTTTCTTGTGAAACAGGGGACATAGTTTGCCTTCCTCTCCTCGAGCAGTAATCTGCAGGCCTGCTCTTTATATTATTTTTTCTTAATTCCCTCCCTTTCCCGACTGGATACATCACTTATAATAAAACCAACGTGTTGTTCCAGGCTGAAGCGTACTAGACATGAAGGTCCAGGAGAAGGAGAAGGAGAAGGAGAAGGAGAAGGAGAAGGAGAAGAAGAAGAAGAAGAAGAAGAAGAAGAAGAAGAAGAAGAAGAAGAAGAAGAAGAAGAAGAAGAAGAAGAAGAAGAAGAAGAAGAAGAAGAAGAAGAAGAAGAAGAAGAAGAAGAAGAAAAAGGAAGACAGCACACACAATGTCTTAAGGAAAAAAACAATGCATCGACTCACAGAAACAAATTAAAGTAAACTACATGGATTACAAAGTGTGAAGCTTACTCTTGACTTTGGATCCAGAACCTTGACGGCTTCCGCCGAGACGGTCAGATCAACTTTTGGCGGTTTCTGACCCTCCGCCCTTTTGATATGTTTGCTGAACTGTAACAAAAAAGAAATCACTGGTGAGAATGAATTTCAGTTGGAATTAAAAACTAACTGGGTCCAAAAACCCCTGGATCTACATTTGCTTTCAATCCATATCAGAGGAGCTAACTGGCCATCAAAAAAAAATCCTGAACATTTCAGACCCCATGGAAATGGGCAAGGGGTCACAAAAGTTACAGATCATATTGCCACATACATCTGGTATAAAGTTAAAGAAGCATGGCAAATTTTAGACTTCTGAAATTTAGATTTTTTTTAACTTATCCAGAAAATTGGCACCTGTGTTGGGTCTGTTTCAAAGGTAAATCTATGTCATAGGTAAAGAAAACTGTTGTATCTTTCTGTCTCAGGATAAACCCAACAGGAGATGAAGAGAGGAAATATAATAAACAAATATAACTGAAAACAAAATTTTTTTACTAGTAGCTTCTAAAGTATCTGTGAAGTACCTCTAGATATTCAATCCTTCAAGCAACAGTGAAATAAGGACACATTATGTCAGTACAAATTCAGTAAGGGAATTGTAAAGCGTTTATGTACCATACCGACCTTCATCTTCCGAATTGCGTCCTTGACAACTTCTGTGCCTTTGGGCTGTTCCACAGTGCATTCTCCGAGAAACTGGAAAAAATGAAAATCAATTGGGGGGGGGGGGGGGTCAGTTAAAGTTTTATGGCACTTGCAACACAATTAGGTCATATAAGTACCCAAGATTAAAGGCGTTACAAGAGAGTAAAAGCAAAAAAGAGGGAAGAGAGATAAGGACGATAGATGTTTGACAGAAAAGACGGAGTAAACACATCAGAGCACCTGCAGATCACCCACTGAAAATTGATGTTTCCATTCTTAGAATCAAATTTTAATGTTCAGTCAGTTTGCATAAATGCTTTTGATACATCGCTTACATCTCAAAAAAGCATAATACACAAAAGAGAGGATAAATAGTCAGGACAAGTGGGAGTAAGAGCGACACGTCATGGCAGCAAACTTCAGTTCTATTACTAGTTTTGACTCGCATAAGAAAAAGAAAACTCCTTGTAACGTTTGGTTTAACTAACATTATGGCATACACTTTTTTCAACACCTCAATGATGACACTAGTCACCCTTAAAAAAAAAAAGAAACATAAGGGACAAGAAAAAAGAACAAACAGAATAAGTCAGAGGACATGATAACCCTGAGATCATTTTCACAACCCAATCTCAAGTCTCGTATTTCACAATAGTTAGTGTAGAGTATCCGTTTAACATACCTCTACTAATACTATGAGATGATGACCTGACCATCAATGATTTATTTATAGAGGCACCAGCCATCCATGTCCAGGTGCTGTTTTAGCCTCTTTTTCCTGTATGCGGATTAATAATATCTTTTTGCCAATTTATTGGTTCCGCTTCTATGTACCCCATATCTATGGTTCTCAACCTGGAAATCGCCCATAATTCGCTGTAATTGCCCCCCCCCCTCCCCCTACCATTTCTCATCATCCCCCCCCCCCCCTTATAGTGTCATCATTTATGTTGCCGTCTATTTTTATCGATAACACGAATATGGATTAAGGGCAGTACTAATGACAATTAGGAAAAAAACAACAACCATCAATTAAATAATAAATAAAATAATGCTAATGATTATCATAATACAAATATTGATAAGGAGGAGGAGGAAGAGGAGGAAGAGGAGGAGGAGGAGGAGGAGGAGGAGGAGGAGGAGGAGGAGGAGGAGGAGGAGGAGGAGGAGGAGGAGGAGGAGAAAAAGAAGAAGAAGAAGAAGAAACACGGTCATAACATCAATATAAAAAACAATAATACTGACAATAGAATTGA